CCTGCTTTGAATGCTTCTGTTGTATCTTATCTAAAATGTTTGCCAAATGCAATTTTTCAAGATTCAGATTTTTTAAAAATGGTTTATATTTCTGATGAATTATTACTAATAAATCCAGCTTATCCAAAAAAAGTTAGCTTTGTAAGTCATTTTTTGTTTAAAATTATATAAAGAAAACTTGAGAGAAGCAAAATTAAAAATTCAATATTTAGAAATGCAGCCAATTTCTCACTTTGATATTTGAAATGTTAGTGTTCACAAAAGTAAAAGATATATCAGAAACCATTCACGCAACAATCAGTGATGTCTTTGATCAATATTATAATCATCTTAAGCAGGTTAAAGATATTTATATTTATTTATTTTTTCAATTAATTTTAATATTTTTTTATTTTGAATAATTTTCTATAGATTTATGATAGTTTTAACACATCAGAGAAAAAGAACATTGATATTCTCAATATGATTTTATGCGACAGCGTTCTCTTGGAAAGTATATTAACACAATGGGATGAAAATGAGTTTAAAAAAAGGTAAGTTTGCAGTTCATATATAAATTATGGAAGTAATTTGTAAATACTGTTTATTATTGTTTTCAAAGTTTATAACTTTATTAAATTAGGAAAAATTAAATAATGATTTCACTACTTAGTATTAAAAAATTTTAAATTTTAAATTATTTTTTATAATTATTTTTAATTGGCATTTATTATTATTGATAAAAGTCCAGACTTTTTTTTAACTTCAAGAATAGAAAATTTTTTATATTTATTTTAATTTAGTTTTAGTTCTCTTTATTTTTATTTAGACATGGTGTTTACTATTTGCTTATTCAAAAGTTTATTTTTATTTAGACATGGTGTTTACTATTTGCTGATTCAAAAGTTTATTTTTATTTAGACATGGTGTTTACTATTTGCTTATTCAAAAGTTTATTTTTATTTAGACATGGTGTTTACTATTTGCTGATTCAAAAGTTTAAAAACTTAAAGACTGAACTAATCAGTTTGATAAGTACGTACCACTTGTTCACTTTAAGATCAGCACTTGTTTATGATGTTCATTCAAACAACTGGAATGAAGAACGGAAGTTTTATGAAGTAACTTTTTTTTGGTTATTTTATGCAGGTTGTTATTTTGCAATAAGGAAATCACATTAATTTTTTAATTTTGCCGTAGTGGTAGTGCGCTTGCTTCATAGGTAAGAAGTTCAGATTTTGATTCCCACCACAACCCTGGTTGTATTGTGCTCAGCTTATATTACCATTGCAACAGGCTTGTTCTTTAAGGTTTGGATTTTGGATTTAAAGAGTTGAGAGAGGGTTTTTATCATGATAAAGTAGCCTCCTTGACTGTAGTGGCCCTCTTGGCCTAGGTTACATCAAAAATAAATTTAAAAAAAATAAAAATTTTGAATATTGCTAAATTATTTTTTTATAAAAGAGCAGAAATATTTATTCATTTAAAAGAAAGTTGTTTAATTTATATAAAAGAAGAAAGTTTGTTATATCAGATTAAATATAAGTATAATAGGAAAAAAATTAAGAATTTGATAGGAGCTCACTCCTATCAAATTCTCAATTTTTTTTTCTATTATACTTAGATTTACAAGCTTGATAGGGTTATGGCTGAGTAATAAAAGTTAAATAAAGTTGCTATCACCTTGTCACTATCTATTATATATATAAGAGACAGTTGTTTCCTATAGAAAAAAGAAGGGTTGTTATTTTGTACAATTGGAGGAGTGTCAATAACAAAATATCCCCAGAACCCCAACTTCAAAGTCAATCTTAAAGTTAAACAAGGTAATTGGTAAGAAGTAAGGAACTTGCAGAAGTTAACAAGCATTTATATATTTTTTTACATTTACCTCCCCTAGGCTGAGATGGCTACTATTGTCATGGGTTGTCTGTCTTTTAACTTTTTTACTCTGAAACAAGATGAGTTTGGTACTACTAGGGATTTTGTGGTGTTTGATCTCTGTATTCTGTTTAAGAAGTGAAATAAGGAGGTATTGCAATAAATATGCAATAATAATAAATTGCAATAAATAAGCTTTTAAACAAAAAAAAAGTAAAATAAGAAACCAGTTCTCCAAGTATGAGGGGAATATCTTTTAAAATAGAACTTTAAAAAGGAAAATATAGAAAAAATAATTTATGAACTTTAATATTTAATTTAAATTTTTGTAAATAAATTTTTGTAGAACCTTTTCATGAAAAATTTATAATTTTTGATGGGTTTTAAACCCCAGACAGTTTAAACTTTTAATTTTTTTACTTTTACTAATATAAGATTTTTTATTTTAGGATGAAAGATGCTCATTTCCAGTACAAATGTGGAACTTTTATATACGTGGTGTAGTATATGATTTGATTGATATGATGCCACATATGTTTTACTATGAAATTCTTTATAAAATATCTAAAGAAATGCTAATATTCTTTACTGCAAGATATTCTATTGTCAAGCCTTCTTATTATAGACTTTCCCAACTTAAGTATGTTTTTAAAATTGAAAAGCTACACAAAAAACTTTTGAACTTGAAAAGTAGGAATTTAAAGTTTAAGGATATATATATATATATATATATATATATATATATATATATATATATATATATATATATATATATATATATATATATATATATATATATATATATATATATATATATATATAAGGCGAGAATGGCGAGCAATCGCACTCTGTAACTGACCAATAGTTTTTTTTCTTTAAAAATTGACCATGGCTGTTTTAATGTCTTAACAATTTAAATGCAATAAAAAAAATCATTAGGTTATGAATAACAATTAATCTTTGATATTTTCTTATGTTTTTGTTAAACTAAAATAAAAAACTTATTATTATGATCATTTAAATGAATGCATTTCGTATAAATTAAATATGTAAATTCTTTTTAGTAGGCAGGTTGTAACATTTTTTACAAAATTGTAACAAAAAGTAAATTTTGCCTCGAGTTTCAGTTTTTTAGTTTTATTTTAAAGCTTACATATTTTCTTTTTCATGAAGAATTGTTTTCTTTTTCAGTTTTTTTAATTTTTTTCATAGTTTTCAGACTTGAAAAAAAAAAAAGACTTAAAAACGCTAAGCTAAACTGTTTAGCTTAGTGTTTCTTTTTTCAGTGCATTACTAAAATGTTTAAATCATTGAAACATCTAAACAGTCGTGGTCAAGTTGTTGACAAAAAAAATAATTTGCATGGTCAGCAATAGCGTTTGACCACATCCCATTCCTGTCCATATATATATATATATATATATATATATATATATATATATATATATATATATATATATATATATATATATATATATATATATATATATATATATATATATTTATATATATATATTTATATATATATATATATATATATATATATATATATATATATATATATATATATATATATATATATATATATATATATATATATATATATATATATATATATATATATATATATATATATATATATATATATATATATATATATATTAAAAGGTTTAGTGGTTGCAAATATGCCTATATAATAAATTAGGCTTATGCATGCATTTTCATTTATGGAGTTTTAGTTTTTTTCAGCTAATGCTGAACAGATGCATTTGTGCCCCTCTGATGTATATATATATATATAGGTCTTGTTTTAAATAAAAAATGTTTAATGCAATAGCTTAACGCAATATTTGACGTCATAAAATTTTCTTTATTTTTTTTATTTTTTAAAGACATAAACTTTTTTAAATTACTGCAATAATTTTAATAACCGCAAAACGAGTTAAATGTTGTTTAACAGCTTTTTTATTATTACTATAAGGGAATGCTTATTCTATTTTATTTTTTTAAATATTAAATTTTTAAATTTAATGTTGCATTTTAAAAATGTTTGATATTAACAAATTTTTTTCTTTTCTCGACATTTGCGTAAATGAATTTTAATACGTTAAATATTTGAATTTTTAAAATGATTATTTTTTAATTTCTTATTGCAGCTTTGCAACTACAAATGATTTTTTATTTTAAAAAAATTAGGGAGTAACAAATAAAAAAATTACTTTAATTTATTTACTTTATTTCTTTAAAGTTTATTAGTTTATTATTTTGTTATTAAAATTATGTCGCTGTATATATCATTTATTAAAAAGTAATCATTTATAAAAAATAATTTAACTTGCATTATATGAAAAAAATGTTTAATTTATGTTTTGTGCAAATTTACAATGCAGCCTTTTATTTAAAATTTAATTTTGAGTAAAAAAAAAAAAAATATTTAGGAAGGAAAACACAAAAACCAATTGCAATAAAATTGAGCTAATTTTTTTTTTAAGAACAAATAAAATTTAAATATTGAACAATATTTAGTAATATTTTTAAATAAATTTCACAGTAAAGTTAAAACCAAGCATTTACTTTAATTTTGATAAACTTAGATAAATTTTTAAAATCAAAATTAATTAATATATATTTTTTAAATCAAAATTAAGTTATATATTTTTTTATCAGAATAAATTTATATATTTTTATTAAATTAGTTTTTAATTAAATCATATTTTTTATCATTTAAATTATAAAGATCTTTGCTTCAAGCTTAGGGATTGTCCATAAATTACACAACGCAAAACTTATTTTAAAAATATAAGTAGGAGATCATTTTGCTCTTTTGCGCTGCGGTTTTCGCAGGACTTAAAAGGTTATTCATATACTTGGTTTAAATAAAGATTCTGTGAGGAAAAACTTTTAAACCTTTGTCTTTTGTCATAAGTTTAATTTTGCATTATGTAATTTATGGACAATCCCTTAAAGTATTAGCATTTTTCAAGCAAAAAAATCAATCTTTACATTAAAAGAAATAAATTAATTATAAATTATTATTGTATAGAAATTTAAGTAAATTTTTTTTTATCGCCATCAAAAGTTGCATAAATATTCTTGAGCTCACAAGATGATAAATAAAAGTTTTTATTATATATATTTCTTTTATGGTTTCTTTTTTTTTTTACGTTCTATTTAATGACTTCAAATAAAATAGAGGCAGGTAACATTTTTGATGAAAAAAAAGCTTGTTTATTGCCCAAAACTGGATAGCAACTCTTTTTGCACTACAATATTCCTAAACTTTTAGAAATCCTTACATAAGTGATTACTGCAAATAAACATTAGAAATTCTTACATAAGTGATTACTGCAAATAAACATTAGAAATCCTTACATATGTGGTTACTGCAAATAAACATTAGAAATCCTTACATAAGTGATTACTGCAAATGAACATTAGAAATCCTTACATAAGTGATTACTGCAAATAAACATTAGAAATCCTTACATAAGTGGTTACTGCAAATAAAATAAGGCAAGGCTACAGTTAAGCAGTCTAAAATAATTTCCTCGCTTGTTGTGCTTTCATGTGTAGACTTGCTCAAAGTGGTGACTTTTTAATATAAACATAAAGGAAATTTATTGGCTTTAGTACATTTATTGTCTATCTTATAATCTGCTGCTACAAGAGAGTGTTGCTACATCGACTATTTTATAGCGTGCTGCTACAAGGAAGTGCTGCTACATTGACTGAGGAATTGGCATAGGGTAGTAATCATTTTTCTTTTATTATTTCAATTAAAATTTTTAGAGTTTAAAAACCCTTCACTAACAAGAGCGCAAAAAGCAAAAAATAAAATTATTTTAGGCTGCTAGACTGTAGCTTTACCTAAAATTACATTGTATTTGTTAGTAATTTTGTATTTTTTTTACCTAGGTTTACCCATAGTTCTTTGTTGACCTGTAGGATAATGATTTTTTGATTTAATTTACACAGTCTGTGTCACATGTCTTAAACAAAAAAAGTAAAAAATAATTTCCGGTATTCTGGCCTGAAATGTTCTAATTCCAGTCGGAACCGGAATGACCTAAAAGTCTCTAATTCAAGCCGGAATTCTGGTACATCTCTATTGTTAACTATAAAGAATTTTGTTTTCTGTTACTAAATATTTTCGATAAAATAATTAGCTTGATTTATAAATAATTAGCTTGAGTTTTTGCAGTTTTTAATTTTATATGAGTTTTTTCATAAGTAAATAGCATTTATAACTAACATAATTGTCATTCAAACTTTTGTAACAAAATTTTTTACATAATTGTCATTCAAAAGTTAATTTTGTTTTTTATAAAGTTAATTATTTCTTTTATCTTACCGTTTATAGAATAATTTAAAAGTAATATAAAATAATAAAAAAGATAAAATGGAAATTGCTCCTAGGAGCATACATAAATTGCCGACAGCCTAACGCTTTAAAACAAGGCCAGATGTTTACATGTATATATATATATATATATATATATATATATATATATATATATATATATATATATATATTATATATATATATGTATATATATATATATGTATATATATATATATATATGTATTTATATATATATATATATGTATATATATATATATATATATGTATATATATATATATATATATATATATATATGTATATATATATATATATATATATATGTATATATATATATATATGTATATATATATATATATATATATATATATATATATATATATATATATATACATATATATATTAGTGATGTACCGATATCACTATATATATATATATATATATATATATATATATATATATATATATATATATATATATATATATATATATATATATATATATATATATATATATATATATATATATATATATGTATATATATATATATATATATATATATATATATATATATATATGTATATATATATATATATGTATATATATATATATATATATATACATATATATATATATACATATATATATATATATATATGTATATATATATATATATATATATATATATATATATATATATATATATATATATATATATATATATATATATATATATATATATATATATATATATATATATATATACATATATATATTAGTGATGTACCGATATCACTTTTTTGTCCGATGCCGATACCGATGTCGATGAATGGGACAAGGCTGATACTAATGTCGATACCAATGAATTTACTAGTTATTAAAAATTTGAAAATATAAAACCATACAACTTCAAATTGGTATTGGTAAACAAATACTTGAACTCAAATCTAAGCCAAATAATTATTTTTAAAAGATATTAGAAAAACTCAGTTAAAAAAATATACATTTAAATTTTTTTTCTACTATGAAAAAAAAACATTCAAAAAAATAAATACAATTTTAGAGGAATGCTTTTTATTTTAATTTAAAAAAAGAAAATATGTATATGAAGTTAAAATTCTTAAAATTCTTTGTTAATTTATTAGTAATTCAGATATCTAAATATGTTTTTTAGACATAAATTATATATCTCGATTAAACTCTTCTACGGCTTGTGGTCCAGACAACATTCCTGTCACAGTCTTACAAAATTGTTCTCCAGAACTCTCTTCAATTTTCT